CATCTGATCTAAACTGATCTCATCTCATCTCATCTCATCTCATCTCATCTCATCTCATCTCATCTCATCTTATCTCTTGCCTTCTCATGTCTTTACTCCATTATTATTATCTCTATTCTTCCCTTTTTTTTATATATTTTTATGTACTTTTCTTACTGTAAATTCCATTTCTCTTTTCATTTTATCTCATCTCATCTCATCTCATCTCTCTCGGCGTGTCAAGCTCTCGTCCTGCACTGTCGCGGTTCGACTCCCGCTGAGGGTATTAATAATACCGATGCGAGATCGAAACTGTAGTCCACTCCTGACTGAACAACTTTTGGGAAAGCAAAGCTATGTGAAATTCAATGGAAACGTCAGCTCAACTCATATCATTGTGGTAAAATTCTACTACCAGTCCTTCATCACCTTAGACGAAATAGGGTGAATACATCTCATTGCACTGATTTACTGGTAGTCTCGAAACCCTACTCTTTTACGAATATAAATAATAATAATCTTTCCCAGGTTCGACTCCTGTTCGGAGTTATGAGGAGACCCCCCCTAGGTCGAACATGTAGTCCAGAACAGCCTGGAGGCGAATAACCTTTGAAAATATTAAGAGCAATTCAATATAAACATGAGGCCTAGTTATTTCATTTTAGAAAAATGCAACCTATTACTTCATTACCTTATGCAACCTAGAATGGCTACAATTTTTATATTACTTTTATTCGTAATGGGTTTGTTTCGAAAATAAAGTTGATTGTCAATCAGAAGGTTTGTCACTTTACGTTAATTAAAGTTATGAAGATACTAATAATGAAATTTTTCATAGTTTAAGTTATGGGCCTTAGGATGCCAGTGAATTTTGTATTGCACAAGTTTGCCATTTTCAGGAAATCCTTAATAAAAATTTTTATATCACGATGAAGAGATCGATACCATCGCTCTACAGCATCATAAAAGCCACTTTGCACAGAACGTTAACAACGGCAATGATAATCAAAATTAATTCAACCACACTTCATATTTGGCAAACATCTATTTGGTGCTATACAGAACATAACAAAGGAAGATAAAATGACAAAGTAATTTGCATCAATCTTGGATTAGGGAATAAACTGAATAATCTCACAAACTATGCTAATATTATATATATACCTATATAAATAAATAAATAAATAAATAAATAAATAAATAAATAAATAAATAAATAAATAAATAAATAAATA